AATAAACTAAACAACATTTGCCTCAACGCTATATCCAAATTCTTTGCCAAATTTGAAATAAAAATGAAATTCTAAAAATAAATAATAATAATGAAAATTAGGAAAAATAAAATAAGAATTTAATTATTGAATGGGCGAGCACGTTTTTGACACCGCCATCTTTGGCGATTTTTCATTTTTTTTTGGCTCTGACGTATGCCATGAAAAATTATATATGTGTATCTTACATAATAGAGAATCTACAAATAAAGTTTGAAAAAATAATAAATTGTTTATGCCTCGAAATAAAGGAAAAACAAAAAGTCAAAAGAGAGAAAAAACAAATTTGTGAGTGGGCAAGCAAGTTTTGACACTACCACCTTCGAGGATTTTTCATTTTTTTTTGGCTGAACAGAATGACTTCAAAAGTAAGCGGGAGATACCTTACATCACAAAGAACTCGCAGAAAAAAATTCAGAAAAAAATAATAATATTTGGATGCCAAAATAAAATTTTGCGGGTTCCGAACCCCTTCAAGTTCAAACGTTCGGGGGTCAGCTTAGGGGCCTCCGTACGTTCGGCCTGGTAACCCTGACTGTATGTGTATTAGAAAGAGGGTCGAGTTATGTATATTCTCAACTCTCTTTCTAACTCGACTCTCTTTCTTTCTATACACGTAACAGTAGTATATGTTGGATTATTATGTCATATATAATACGGATAGCGGCTCACCCCATCACTCAGCGTATGTGCCAAGTGGAACATGTATCTTCCTCTTAAACTTGGAAAGATACACCCGTGATAGCTTCTATCCATTTCACATCTGGTGAGTGGTGGAGCGAGGCCCATATTCGTATTCGTCGTTAGGGATTCTGTTTATTAAGTAATCTGTACGTTAGAAAGAGAGTCGAGTATCTATCTTCTTCTTAAACTTGGAAATATACACCCGCGTTAGGGATTCTGTTTATTAAGCCAAAATATTTTTGGCTGTGCCATGGAACGTCACGGAACGCCCTATACGTACTTTCAGCTTTGCCATGTTGTCATTCTCCACGTCAGCATGTCGTTATCCTCCCCACGTCACCATGTTGTCAGCATGTCGTTATCCTCCCCACGTCACCATGTTTTCATCCTCTCGACGTCATCATGATATGATTGATCATGGCGGTTCGATCGACAATCGCATAATACTGTAATGCTGTAATAATAATAATAATAATAATAATAATAATAATAATAATAATGAATATTAATATTATTAATATAAATTTAAAGTATTATTTCTTTGGGCATTTAACTTCGACGTTCCTGGCCGCAATTTAGGCTTTTCCTGAACCGAAATCGTCAGGTCTTACAGGTGGGAACCAGGTGAGCCCTTACGATTTCGGTTAAAAAATGTCGAAATTGCTTCCAAGAAGGGCAAAGTTAAATGCCCAAAGCGGTATTATTCTATTCTCCCCGTCACCATGGTGTCATCCTTTTCACGGCATCATGGTCTGATCGATCATGGCCGCTCGATTGACAAGCGGATAAGAATAACCCAAGTCCGTCAGATCTCTACTGCCACCATTTTTTTTTTTTTTGGAAGTATCATGCATATGATGGGGTATAGCAGGATTTGAAAAGCGAAAGAGACCAGAAAGAGGTAGATAGGGGGTGAGGGACCGAGAGAGAGAGAGAGAGAGAGAATACGTATCGAAATCGGGGGAAATGCTGGTGTTATTGGGGAGAGAGAGAGAGAGAGAGAGTACGTATCGGAATCGGGGGAAATGCTGGTGTTATGGAGAGAGAGAGAGAGAGAGAGAGAGTACGTATCGAAATCGGGGGAAATGCTGGTGTTATGGAGAGAGAGAGAGAGAGAGAGAGAGAGAGAGAGAGAGAGAGAGAGAGTACATATCGAAATCGGGGGAAATGCTGGTGTTATGGAGAGAGAGAGAGAGCGAGCTGGTGTTATGGAGAGAGAGAGAGAGAGAGAGAGAGAGAGAGAGAGTACGTATCGAAATCGGGGGAAATGCTGGTGTTATGGAGAGAGAGAGAGAGAGAGAGAGAGAGAGAGAGAG